GAAAGAAAGAAAGAAAGAAAGAAAGAAAGAAAGAAAGAAAGACCAAGTCCTCATTATGTCTGAAATGCCAAGTTCAGGGTTTATCTGAGTTACACAGGCTTACCCTCTTCCTCCCTTCGTAGTTCTCACCTTATAACCCTACATGACCCATCCAATATGGTATGTGATAGCTCTCTTTTGGGCATGATTCTGTTGCCTCAGTCCAAAAGCAAGATCTCTTCTCTGGCTCCCTGCCACTCCCAGAACTTTAAGGAGGCATTTGCTCGACTGACTCAGTGTAGAATAAATGGGCGTTGTGAAGAGCAAGGTGTGCCTATTTGCTCACCTATTTTCCCCCAAACCCTTCAAAGCTGAGACATCTAAAGAAATATAGTTCTTTTCCAAGTTGTTAGCTTGGAACCTAGACATTAGTTCCAGCCTCAGTGCTCAAAGCACATGTGGAATGCTTCCCATGAAGCCTTGCAATTTATGGCATAATTAGACATCTTTAATGATAAAGGTCTTTAATGACTCAGTGTCCTTGAAGTAAGTTTGTTGTTGTTATTGCTTTATTTGCTTTCCAAATGAGCCAAAATAATTTAGAAATAAGTAAGGTAAATAAAAAGAAACATAATCCTCTGGTCAGAGATGAGGGAAAATTGTGACATCACGAGACTGGTTTTCTCATGTGACGCTCCCCCACATTAGGAGGTGGCTGTAGAAGAGGAAACTGTAAAATGCCTGGGCAGTGGCCTTTAGCCTGCTAAAAGGGCTCACCTGAAGGAAAACAGCAATTTCAGAGTAGATCAGTCTTGCTACTTTATTCATACCTGTTTCTTTGCCTAATTTAATGGTTGCCCTCTATGAGAACAACCAAGTGGGAATCCTTTTGACACGCAAGGGCAGCAGAAAAATAAAAAGGATAAAAGTGTGAGTTCTGGAATTAAGCCACAGGAATTCATATCCTGCCTTTACCTCATGCCAGAGGTGGGGCTCTGAGAAAGTTGTTGTACCTAAAACCAAGGAAATGATAGTGCTTTCCTCATACTGCCCTTGTCAAAATTAAGTGATGTCATCCACATAAAGCACAGGGTACCTAGCACATAATAAGCACTGTTTTAATGATAACTGGGATTTGTTTTAATCAGGTAGGTAAGATACAGACACAAAAATGTCATGAAGGAAGATTTTATACTCATGGGTCCCTAGAAACAGGGGGTACAGCATGGTGTGCAGGTGGAGCCACAGTGGGAAACACCCAGGTCAGGAGGACGTAGAAGGAACAAGCGGAAAATATGGACAACAGCCTTTGTTGTGATTTCCTGTAGGAAGTTATGGACAAGGAGGGTAAGCAGGTTTAAGATTGGCTAGTTCTAGCCAGCTCTGGAGTCTAAAGGGATGCCCTAGTTGTCTCTTACCTGGTCCTGGGATAAAATGGGCAGGACAGTAGTGGCCCAGAATATGAGAACCTTACAGAGGAGGTGGTTGGGTATACAGGCTCTGGATTGGTTGGTTTGCCTATGAAAAGTGTGCTCCCAGGCACGTTATCTGTAATCTCTAGGAATTAGCTAGCCCTGGGAAATGTAATATCTCCTAGGTCACAAAGCCCCAAGACATCAAAGCATCAAAAATATGGAATAAAAATATATGTCATCATCATCATCATCATCATCATGCCTTCTCAGCATTCATTGGTAGCACAACAAACTGATGTGGTTTTTTTTGTTTTTTTTTTAACATTTTAATTTTTTTTTATTTATTTACGATAGTCATACAGAGAGAGAGAGAGGCAGAGACACAGGTGGAGGGAGAAGCAGGCTCCATGCACCAGGAGCCTGACGTGGGATTCGATCCTGGGTCTCCAGGATCGCGCCCTGGGCCAAAGGCAGGCGCCAAACCGCTGTGCCACCCGGGGATCCCCAAACTGATGGTTTTATATGGCTTCTTTGCCAGCATTCTGGAACTTACTAGTGATGGTTGATGTTAATTGGAGTTTAATAAGTAGGAACTAAAAAGTAGCATCCTTTTTGTTAATGACCCAACCATTACTCAAGAGCTGTATCTAGTTCTGGATTTCAAAGTGGAAAAACCAGAGAGGATTCTGAGAAGAAATACTTTATGGGGTGAAAGAACCTGAAAGGAAAGGTGATAGATGCTGTGATTTGGTCTCCAGGTAAGGTTATTGGGAGATAGCATGGCAGTCTACAAGTACTGCTTCCCTTCAAATAAAAAGAGATCACTTAGACGTTCTCCATATTTGCTGATCATAGAACAAAATGGAGCAGGTTCATTGTGAAGCAAGCAAAATTCCGCCTTAACTAAAGGCGAAGCAAATAATTCCTGACCATAGGCACCTGTAGGAATAGCAAACACAGAGGGTCTCAATGGTGGTAGAGCCTCAAGAAAGAAATAGATAACCTTTCAGCTTGACAGAGATGATGTATCTCAGACAAATTGACAGGTGACCTCTTAGTATCTCTTTCTAAGGATTATCTGCCTCTGTTACCATCTATATTTTCTTGAATTCTCTCCATTAAACTCCAAGGAAAGCTTTATTTCTTCTCACTTCCTTTTCACAGAGGGAAAAAACACAAAACAAACAAAAAAGCCCACAGCTTTAGATATTTTGAGAAAAGTGAGATTGCTTCACAGAAGAGGCCAGACTTGGTGTAAAGGAGATTCAAAGCACATCAGACAGCCGGTCTGAGACCCCAGGTCCCCAGCCCTACTTATGTTTAGGCTAGTGAGTAGTTTGGCAGACAGCCAAGAGTAGGTGATAGGTCAGTGCCTTGTCCCTCCTGTTCTGGGTTGGTTTCCAAAACAAAGAAGTGGGTACTAAGGTTATATCCATCATAGCCATTGACTTAATCCACAGTCACTGACCCAACACAAAAGAAAACAGATGTACTACATTGCTCCTCCCAAGTAGTTCACATACCTTTTCATCAACATATTGTAGAAAAATCAGAAAGCACAGATAAACAGGAATGTGTTTACTTTTATGACGTTTTTATGTCAATAATTACATTTCTGAAATACCATTTTTACTGGTTTCCGAATGTATAGACCCAATATGACTCTTGGAATTCACTAATGTAGAACATTTAGCATCTTTCTAAGTTGTCTTTATATTACAGACAGTGCTTAAGATGAACATCCTTGTAGACAAGTCTTTATACCATTCTTAATATTCTTTTAAAATATATTCCCTAAAGGATAATTTTAATTAATAATATCTGATTCAATAAACAGACATATTTTTAAGGATTTTGATACAACTGCCACGTTGATCTCCAGGAAAATCTTTTGGTGAAGGGGTGCCTGGGTGACTCAGTTGGTTAAGTGCTGCCTTTGGCTCAGGTCATGATCCCAGAGTCCTGGGTGGAGCCCTGAATCGGATCCCTACTCAACAGGGAGTCTGCTTCTCCTTCTGCCCCTGCCCTCACATGCATGCGCTCTTGCTCTCTCTCAAACAAATAAATAAAATCTTTAAAAAAAAAAATTTTATGTGTGAAAAAGTACCTTTGTCAAGTGTGCCTTCCATTCTGTCAATTCTTCAGGATATTACCTCTCCCTTCTCCACTAGTGTCCCCTTTATTGGGGTCATGTCTCTTTATCATTAAGGATTTGAAGATTAATAATGCTCTTTTGTGCCCATCATGGCTCTGTGTCATGGAAAGGACTCTGGTTACCTTCCTTTTCTTCAATACCTCCCTAGCTTGCAAAACCACTAAGAGATGAGTCATTAATAAAAAAGACAACCAGCCCCCCATATGCTTAGAAATTAATAAATGAGCTTCTAAATAACATATTAAGGAAGAAATGTATTGAAAATTAGAACATTTTATTAAATGAATGGTAATGCAAATACTACATAGCAAAATTTGTGGGTTACTTCTAAAAGATAACCAAAAGGAAAATGTGTAGCTTTAGGAAAAGAACACTGAAAATTAATGATGTAGTAAGGATCCAGCTCAAGAAGTTAGCAAGAATGAAGGAACGAATAAGTGAATGAATAAATGAAATCCTTGAGGACAGTAGCTCTTTAGGCATCTTTGCAAGCCTTATTTCCAAAATAGTGCTTAACAAGTAAGTGGAGGGGCGGGCTCCACCTGGGTGGCAGCCAGTTAAGCATCAGACTCCTGGTTTCAGCTCAGGTCATGATCTCATGGGTCCTGAGATCAAGCCGTGCTAGGGCTCCGCACTCATCAAGGAGTCTGCTTAAGATTATCTCTCCCTTTCCCTCTGCCCCTTCCACCCATGCACTCTCTCTCTCTCTCTCTCTCACTCGCTCTTTCTCTCATTCTCTCTCTCAAATAATCTTAAAAAAAAAAAAGCAAGTAAGTAGAATCGATGAGCATCAGATTGGATTTGTTAAATAAAGGCCATGACTCTGAACACATGGTATTTCCAAAGTCTCAGGGGTTGAGGAGTATTTCCATTCTGATTTATATGCCAAGATAATCCATCCAAGTGTCATTTAAGTTCTTGGAGCAGGAGATTCTGTCTTAGGGAATGCAAGATGCCTGAAATGTGGTGGAGTTAAACACACTAGAAGAGATAACCCACAGTTGCAGGATTACAGCCACCATGAGTTACACTAAGGCAGCATTGTCCTTATCTCTGGACATCCCAGAGAAGAGTTTTATGTTTATTCCACTAAAAATATTTTGGAGATAAAGGTTAAAGATAAGTGCATTTGTACCAATCCATCAAGCAGATGGTTTTTGGTCATCAGAAGTCAAGAACAGGGCCTGATGCTGTGTCTTTCACATAGGCAGCCATCTGTTGGAGTTCAAGAAAGTTTCGCATGTGTAAGGGACAGAGGATTAGGCTCTAGAGACCAATTTTACCCAAGAAAAAGTAGTGACTTTAATGTCATTAATGGTCTCCTGGATGATCTGCTATAACTTTAATTCTCCATTAAACATTTATGCAGCTCAGTGCTTAGTATACTGCCTTTAGTATCATATGGCTCAAACTGACACTAACCTGTTTTATATTTTATAACTGAATCACAGGGCTTTTTCAGGAGAAGTCAGCAAAGCAATGCCACCTACTCCTGTCCTCGTCAGAAGAACTGTTTGATTGATCGAACCAGTAGAAACCGCTGCCAACACTGTCGATTACAGAAATGCCTTGCCGTAGGGATGTCTCGAGATGGTGAGCACTCAGTTTGAGTTGTACAGTAGCGTGGGCTTGGGAAGGAGCCTTTTGAGACTTGGACCCAGATCTGCCCCTCCCCACCCCATCCTACCTCCTCTGGAGGCTTTGGCAGATTCCACAACAGCTACTTCCTCCTCCATAAGGCATTGGAGTCAGCTGGGGGTGAGGGTGGCATGGAGGAGGAGCATCTGTGTGGTCAGAACACCTTTGGATTTTTGACATTCAAGACATTACAGGTTAATAAGTTGATTGATGGTACATGTCATCAGAGGGCCTTAATAAATATACCTCTTACAGGCATTTTCCCCAGTAAGAAATGCAAGCCAGAGCTAATTGTTAAGGCTAATTGTTAGTGCTTTACAGTAATTAGTAAAGCTTATTGGCAGTTGGAATGAATTAGCTTTTATGTTAACTGAATATTTTGAATCACATATCAAAGTCCTATATTTGGGGGGTTTAAATTTTTAAATTAAGTTTTTTAAATTTTAATTCCAGTGTAGTTAACATACAGTGTAATGTTAATTTCAGGTGTACAATATGATGATTTAACATTTCCATACACTCCTTAATCCCTCATCAGCTATTTCACCCGGCCTCCAGACTCCCTCCCCCCTGGCATGCTTTATTTTAAAAGAGTATCCTCAGTTAAAGTTATTATTTCTTTTTCCAACAAGAACATTTTTTACTTAGGGCATATTTCAGAATACATGCTTCTATAGGATATATGTAAGATATTCCATCCAAGAAAAATAGAATACACGTTTTCTTTAAGTACATAAGGAATAATCCCCTGGCTAAGTCACATAAAAAAGAGACATAACAAATATTATAAATTTAAGAAGACCGAAATCACAGCATGTATATTTTCCAACCACAATGGTACAAAACGAAAGAGCAACAATAAAACAAAGCTGGAAAAATCTACAATGTAAATATTTAATACATAAAAACTATATAACACACTACTCCACAAGCAATGGACCAAATAAGAAATCAAACAGCAAATCAAAATATGTCTCAAAACAAAAGGACAAGTCATGTATTTGTACCTATAGAATGTGTGAAAATAGTGCAAAGCATGGCTCAGTGACAAATGTTCTTTTCCTTAAAAGAAGCTATTTTAAGAAATAGAGGCCATCTATCATTCATTTGCAAAACATTTCAAGATCTTCCTGGAAAACTATCTTAAGTGCACTGAATAATCAACACCAGATTTCAAGACAGTTATTCTTATACAAGGAAACTGGGCAGAAAGTATAGCGGGTACATTTTAGGGACTTTTACGAATATACAGGCTGGCTGGCTCTCCTAAGAGATCCCCTTGAAAGAAATATCTCTTCCAATGGAATTTCAGCCTGTGGAAATATTTCAGAAGGCTGGGCAGGCATTCCAAAAGCCTGTCTTCCCCATAATCAGATGTTCTTGGGGCCTGCAGACCAGCCCAGGCACGAGTTGTGATGTACGTCAGTAGTGGTGCACAGCACAGGATGGCCACTTAAAATAGGTATGAACAAAAATAAAGTTTGGGGCATTGGGAAGATGCAAGTCACGGAACTTAAATACTCAGAAATTCCGGTGATATGCAGCTCTGCAGATTTCATCTTTCTGTGGCACTACACTCACAAAGCCAGGTATATCTCTTGTGAACTTGTAAGCTAAGATCGCAAATTACATGTGCATTTTCTCAACAACTGATCCTTTCATTTCACTTACGGGATAGTATAATTACTCTTGTTAAGGCAAAAGTTAAAACACAATTCAGAGTCACAGCAAAATGAGTTTCACTTATGGTTATTAATCCCTCTGGGTATTCTGGAGTATTCTTAAAAAAAAAAAAAAAAGTATCCCTTCAGTATGCCTCTTGGAGATTTTGCACAGAAGTGGCCACACATATTTATGGGCTTGATGCAAATACTGGGGCTCGTACAATGACAGGCCTTGAACCCAGAGATCAGAGCAGCCTGATTGCTGCCTAACCAGCCCCAGGTTTGTTTCCAGCCGTGGAAACTGGAAATTGACCAGACTCCCAGCCACTTGTTCCCTCTGTGTAAAGGGACAGCACATCATCCTTGGCAGGAAACAAATCTATCCGCTGACCCAGGTGGTTGGTTGGTCCTGGTTCCCAACTTCACTTCCATCTATCTTGCCTCCTGCCCCTAGATTCATAGAATTATAATGATGGTCAAATGGATGAATTCATCTACCTAGTCAGCTATAAATGTAACCATAATCAATTAGGAGAATTCAGTCCCTCCAATAGAGGCTTCATCTGCTTACACAGAATTGGGCTGAGAGAAATGTCCTAGTGGGAGAGTTGAGACCAGGAAATCAAAAGGTTCTTTTGTCAATTATCTGGTGTTTTAGGAAAGATCATTTGGGATTCTGAGTGAACTGGAAAGTTAGTACACTCCCTGTTCTACTCTAAATATGGGGATACATCACAAGGAGAAACACTGCAAACACAAATTTGCCCAACAGGGATCTTACACAAGGTTTGCCCTTCCAAAAATTCTGATAACTCTTTTTACTTGAGGGTAAAGCAGAAAGTCACTTAAAGGTGAGCCCAAGGGTTCCACGGGGATCACTGTGACTCAGAGGAAGGGAGGGAGCTTCTGAGGTCAGGTAGACTCAGATATAATTGAGGGAATTGCAAAGGGGCCTCATCCAGTCTCAGCAGTTGAGGTCTCGGCAAAGCCCCAGATTCGGCTGCTTGACTGGGAAGAAACGAATGAATGAGTGAGTGAAATGAATGAAAGGTGAGGTTTGGCTGCTTGTGCCTCGATGTACCCCTGTGAGTCTGCATCCCTGCACGTCGGTCTGAACCCTGGGAAGAGAAAGAGGTGGTCTAGGCAAGTGGCATGGGCAGAGAATGAACAAGCCCATTAAGTCATACATCAGTGGTTCCCACTGAACTTAGGGTTATGTGACAGCAGGAAAACATAAGTGGTCATTGCCCTTCCTCCAGTCCTTGGTCTGTTTCTGAAACTTAGCTCCTCTGGGCTGTGGAGCAAGCCTGTATGGGGTGTGGGACCATTTTCACCTCTGGATCACATCCTTATTTTGCAGTGATGTAGTTTTTGATTGAGATTATCTGAGACTTAAAAGGAGCCCCTAAAGCATGCTGGAGAGAATAATAAAGAAAAGCATATTGTATATGGTATGGTCTGGCTTTTCTCTTCCAGCTGTAAAATTTGGCCGAATGTCAAAAAAGCAAAGAGACAGCTTGTACGCAGAAGTACAAAAGCACCGGATGCAGCAGCAGCAGCGAGATCACCAACAGCAGCCCGGAGAGGCCGAGCCGCTGACTCCCACCTACAACATCTCGGCCAACGGGCTCACCGAGCTTCACGAGGACCTCAGCAACTACATCGACGGGCACACCCCCGAGGGCAGCAAGGCGGACTCCGCCGTCAGCAGCTTCTACCTGGACATACAGCCTTCCCCAGACCAGTCAGGTCTTGATATCAATGGAATCAAACCAGAACCAATATGTGACTACACACCAGCATCAGGCTTCTTTCCCTACTGTTCTTTCACCAACGGAGAGACTTCCCCAACTGTGTCCATGGCAGAATTAGGTAAAGGCCTCCTTGTGTCCATTGCAATGCTTTACTCGTGCCCTTTCAAGTAAATGGAATATGTTTGACTACCTTCTAATGAGTTATGTTATTAAAATGATGCTAGAAGAACAATTCACCTTGACTATTTGGGCCACTTCAAAGTTCCACCCTACCCCCTGGCTTGTGGTTGTCCACTGCTTCCTATCACATATCCAAAAAATACATTGACCTGTTAATAGCACAGATGGGCAGAGTGAACTTGAAGCCGTCTTTAAATTCCACAGAAACTGTAAACTCAGGGAATGGCCCCATTGGCTTCATTCATTATTTCCTTTCATTATATTCCAGATGTTGCTTTACATCTAAAGTTGTAAAACTGGCAGCCCACACACTGTGCTCGTCCATATGCATTTTTTGACCAGCGCAGACTTTTTAAAAAGTTTCAAATTGGTTGCTAAAATTTTAAACCTAGACAATCCTGCCTCAGAGTTCAGATTTTCAGCTTCTTGTGAGACGGGAGAAAATGATCTAGTTATGCTGAACCAGCATTTGTGATTGGCCACACCTGGTGGTACCAGTTCGGCCCTAACACCTTTATATGTTTTCCCATTTGATATCACTCCCCAGCTCCTGTTGGCATCGAGGTTTTGCAACCCTGATGTATTCTATGAATGTTAAAGGCAAATTGACTTCATTTGCCAAAATGGTTTGGTGATGGATATTGGTGATAAAACTGATATATTTCATAGAAAACTCACCATATAAAAACAAATAGACCAACAAGCAAATTTGTCATCTCCTCATTCCCGTGTGACATTGTTGCTTTTTGGGAGATGTGACCTAGAAATGTTGATAACACAGACACCGGAGGACTTGCCATTTCGAGGAAGTTGTGTTAACAACGCCTGTTATAGTATTTCATCGATTTTCAGGTGCAACGCTATTCTTAGAGAAACTTTGATAAGAAACTTTGTAGTTTTAGAATCTGATGTGCTCCTCCCTGTGATTCCTCACACAAAGTCCTTTGGGATATTTCAATTAGTTGCTGTGGAGGTGACTAACTTAACACGAGGAGAGAATGAAGACTTCAGATGGAAAAGAACCAGCAGGTTCTGACTTGAGCACAGACATCCTTAGTTCACAGAAATAACGGTTGTGTTCTTTAGATGGTTTCTCCACCTCTGTACCCCATAAAACATTTTTAAGTGAAATTTATATTTCCAGTAAAATCTTTCTCCAAATAGAACAAATTGAATGTTCTTTACGGTTTTTACACAAGCACCTCTTTATGGGTCTAAATTTAAATCCTCAAGAGCAGGGACATTTTAAGCTAGGTCTTTAACCACTGAACAGCATTAAAGGTGTATTGCAGCTCTTTTGATTAACAGAGGAACCTCTGAACTAGAAGCCAAGCTGAGCAGAGGTAGGTTTGATATTTTTTTCTTGAACTAGAACAAAAACCTTCCGTTTTTTGTCGTGAAATCTTGGTTGGCTGAGACTTAAGCAGAACTGTAATGAAAGTAAAATTTTCAGAAATGAATAAGGATTTGATTGAAAGCTGACATGATATCATGAAAAATGACCTGGCTCACTTTCAGTTTGCTTCTACCTTATCATAAATACTAGTCAATCTGTCCTGTTTGCTTGTCAAACGTTCAACCCTAAAATAAATCCATAGGATTTCGCCAAAGCATTGCCCTTAAATATGACACTTTGGCTAAACACACACTAATACCTGAGGGGCACCAGAAATGATAAAGCAAGTGACCCCTGTGTCCCCTCATCAGTGTCCTCTTCCACAGCTGTCACCTTCCACTGCAGCCTGGGAGCCCCGTGCCCTCGTATGTGTTCCATGCTCTCTTAAATTAGGGGCTTTTCACATGCATTCTGGCATTTTTTTCCAGGATAAGTAAAATTAACTCATCACTAGGATTAGTCCCAAACCAAAAACTAAATTAAGAATTTGCTGGAAAAGAATATAATTGGGTTCTGATCTCCTTTCCCATTTACATGTACAAAATAGTTGGAAGAATTGAGTAACATAGAAGTGGATAAAGACTTCGGTGTTCTTTCTTCAAAACTATCTGGGGTTCCTTGATATTTCCTTTGGGGCCTTAAGTCCTGCTATCTTTTTTTCTTTAATTCCAGTATAGTTAACATACAGTGTTTTATTAGATTCAGATGTACAATATAGTGATTCTAGTCTTACTACCTTTTCAACTAACACCCTTGACTTCATTGTAGTAAGATTTTAGACAAATGAAACCAATTATATAGTTCAAAAATGAATTGGAAAGTGACATATCCTAACCTCAACTGTATCTTTCAATAATGGTATCTACAATCCATTATTTTTAGTGGAAATATATCTGCATTCCTGGCTAGGATATTTTGTCCTTGATATACAATTAGTACCTGAATTATACATTCCAGATAAACAACCTTGTTTCACTAAAAAAAAAAAAAAAAAAAAGGCAAACTGCACATGTCACTATAATTGATGACTAAAGCAAAAGAGACAAAGCACTAGTCAAGAAGTCAGCTTATATGTTTTATGTTACTAGTTTTGCTATAGGTTGTACAACCCAGTGTAAGTCTGCTAGCTGCAGTTTCCCTACTCATAGAATATAAAGATTAAGAGCACAGACTGGCACCAAACTGTGTGTATTTGAATCACTTGCCAGCTATGATACCTTGGAAAAGTCACTTAACCTCACTTGGTTTCATCATCTGTAAAAGGGAGATAATACCGGCACCTTCCTCCTAGGATTGTTATGAAGATTAAAAAATATATATATTCAGAATATATGTGTATAGATAAGTTAGATGGAGCTAGCACATAGTAAATGCTATTCACCATTATCATCATTATTAATGGTGTTATTATCTATAAACTGAGGAAAAGTTGGACCATATGATGTCTAAATGAAAATCTATGGCTAACTCAGAAGTCAGCATTTTCCATATGAAGTTCTTAGACCTTAGCTGTGTTGAAGAAACAGTCATGGGTGAGAAGGTGAACTGACTTGCCCGTCACAAAGTGAGTTATCTGCTGAGCCCAGACCAGAAACCAGGTCTCCTAATTCCTGGTTCTACAGTATTTCACTATTCCAGAGTGTTTCTCTGAGAGACCACACTAACTTAACTTTTACTCAGTCTGACCATATTGTCCTTTGCTGAAATGGAGATTTAAAAATAGTAAAGTGTCGGGGATCCCTGGGTGGCGCAGCGGTTTGGCGCCTGCCTTTGGCCCAGGGCGCGATCCTGGAGACACGGGATCGAATCCCACGTCAGGCTCCCGGTGCATGGAGCCTGCCTCTCCCTCTGCCTATGTCTCTGCCTCTCTCTATCTCTCTCTCTGTGTGACTATCATAAATAAATAAATAAATAAATTTAAAAAAAATAGTATAGTGTCTGAAATCTTACACTTGCCAAATCAACTGTGAATCGTAATCAAAGGCAGTTGGTGAGAATGCAGCCACTGCCCTCTACTGGTTCAATGTGTACATTACGCCATTCCATGTCCGGCTTCGGAATGCTGGGCCTGGATAGGTAGGGATGGATGGAAACAATTTTTAGGATGAAGTGAAGCAAGATGCTGACCTATTAATTGGAAAAGAAGCATGATCTGGAAGGGAATACTATGAGCCTCTTCCCATTCATCACCTCGTAGGATCTCCAGCTTCCCTGGCAAGCACTTCATCTTCATTTTTTTTCTCGTATCTGAGAGATTTGGCTCACTGTTTACACATTTATTTTTTTGTTTCTGACTCCTCGTTGTTTTTGTCTTCACTCCCCTCTTCTCTTCACAAGCATCAGTGATCCTAAGTCACATAACTTACTGGCTTCTCCCTCTTTTGGTGGCTCACTGTTTCTTTCTCCCCTTGAGTTTTTTTCTTCTGTTTATGTTTTATTTTCATGGTATTTATTTATGTTGTGTTCATGTCTGTGTTGCCAAATAGAGCTGTTAAGATTTATTGTGTTCCAGTGTCTCTAGGGAGATTCTAGTTTCAAGCTTCATTTTGGTGGTGAACTCACTCTATTTTTACACAAACAAGTCTGATGCTGTTTGCTAAGAGCACTAACACATTTCCACAGACCCTCTTATTCGTGTTGCCAAGTTTTCATTCAGCACCTTCCTTTTAAATGGCTTTCCTGTTATATAACCAAGACCCTGGCAAGAGATCACTTTTGGACATGGTTTCACATTCATAGAATCTTGTCAGTCCCCTTAAATGCTTCCATTGCCCTTCCCTTCCGTAACGTTTATGACCAACCTACTTCAGGCTCATAGTCCCTCAGGTGTGGCCAGCAGCAGCCTTTCACTGCTGCCTTGGGCTCCAGCCTCTGCTCCAGTTCACCAGTCATGACACCAATCACGACCCTCCCTCGACGTGTCAGCTCCCCCTTGAGAATTCCACTGACTCCTTTTGTTAAGCGGGTCCAAACCCTTAATCCTAATATTTGAAATTCTCCAGAATGTGGACCTTAACCTACTCACGTTTCTGTTTTGATACTATCACTTTATTGCATCTGCCTGTCCTCTGTAAATGCCACCATTTGCTCCTTCATCTGTCATCCCTTGAATGTGGAACCAGCTCACCTCTTCACACTGCTGGCCTCTGCCTGCCAAATCCTCCCCTGCCTTCAGGGTCCACTCCAGGTGGTCCTCTCTTGCCAAGAAGCATCCTCTAATTCTTTTCATCTCTCCCTTCCATGAGAGGACCTCTCTATCTTCTCTGTTTCTCTTTCTCTCTTTTTTTATCTTCTGATATAATCCAACCTGATGCTTTATTTTATTAAGATCTTGAGTTGTCCTTTGTTGGCATGTCCATACATGTTCACCAGATTATGAGTTCCTAGAGAAACTTCTTTGGCATCTATTTCTTTTAATATCCTCAAACTACCTACTCTCCAGTACAAGAACAAATGTTTATAAAAAAAATTAAAAAGAACAAATGTTTATGTAGTGCATACTATGTAATCCTCCCTGCTCTGAGTGTTGAACTCACTTAATTCTCACAAGCCCTGTGAAGTAGGTACTGTTTTCCTCACTTACCAAATGTAGAAATCAAAGCACAGAGAGGTTGATTAACTTACCCGAGATCATACAGCTAGTAGGCATAAGAGCTGAGTTTCAAACACAGGCAGTCTGGTGCCAGAGTCCACCTCTTAACCACCACCCTATATTTAGTGACATAATAGGCTCTCAGTAATGCTTTTTGTGCTATTTGCTGGGAAAAAAAAGGAAATAAGTAACCATTTTCACAAAAGCATACCATTGCCTAATTTTGGGAGAGTAATCCTCTCCAGGCCAATGTACACAGCAGATGTGTCTTCATAAAAATGCCAAGAAGAAGCTGTGTCGGTCATTTCCCACACCTACCCTGGCTTATAATTGTTCATTCCCAGATGTTGGTGTAAAGCCACAGGAGAAGGTCAAGGTCAGGAGGGTCTCTGAGGTCACCAAGATTTATTGCTAAGTATTGGCTTTGCCTGTTCTTCACCTTCATGTTCCAAAATACAGAATAGTTCCAAATTGCTTATTTAAAAATCTAAGATAAATAAAACTGGCTCAGTGTGTTGCTTTGTACTTGTTACTTTTTAAACCAAATATTAGGCAGAGAAAACCCTGATCATCTGGAGAAGAGCTTGGCTTTTCATGTTTGTGATCTCCTGTTTTCTCTTTAGAACACCTTGCACAGAATATATCTAAATCACATCTGGAAACTTGCCAATACTTGAGAGAAGAGCTCCAGCAGATAACGTGGCAGACCTTTCTGCAGGAGGAGATAGAGAGCTACCAAAACAAGGTACACTCTGAAGAATTTTACCCAGGATTGAGGCAATAGTGGGAAGGGTGTTTATGCAGGAGATCTGATTAAGAATACAGACTAGAGAATGAATGTCTTTCATCAGATATCAGATTTCTCTTTAAAATCTTTCTTCTAGAGATGATCATATACTTGGGGCTTTGTTGTCTTACTGAGGTGCAAGTGTGTGAAATTCTAGCATTAACAAATTCTATTATACCTATGACTATACACATATCTCCTATCATTTGTCAGTGGGGGCTGGATGAAGCAGTGTCCAAAAGCCTGAATGAATTGAGATTTGTCCTAATATCACAGTGCAAGATATCCCACCAGAATGGGAGGGCAAAGCCGGAAAAGGGGAAGCTTCAGTTACCCATTCTGCTTTAGTAAAGGGAAATGCTGTGGTTTTCCCCAATAATTATAGAGATGTAGGCCTAGGAAGGACGACAGAGATTATCCAGGCTAATCCTCCCTTTCATTTTACATATGAGGAAGTTCATATCCCTTGGCAGAATCAGTGAAAATATTGGGACTAGACCATGACTCCTACCTCCTAATTCAGTGTTTCCTTCACCCCCTCATATCGGTGAAAACAATCAAACTAAGATTGAGGGAACAAGTGAGCAATGTAACAGATCTAGGTTACCCTAAAACTAAATTAGGAAGTGGGTATGTAGAAGCAATTAAACAGAATAGGTTAGAGAATAGCAACACATCACGTTATTTACCTTTGAAAAAGCAGGTAACACCAGCAGCCAGCCAGTGTTTCAAAGGGAAAGCAGAAAGCAGTAAGAAATCACAAGGCATGCGAAATAGGATTCAGAGTCAGAGATGCTGGGATTTGAATCCCAGCTCCAACACCTCCTAGCTGTGAAACCTCTATGAGAATTTATGTCCATTTATGGAAAATGGGGAGATGAAACAAGACAATGTCATAAAGCATCTAGCTCAAAGCAGGTGAACGATAAATGATTGACTCCCCTTTTCTTCCCTTCCCCCAGTAAAGTAGTGTTAAATTCCCCCAAGGTAAAATGATTGCTCAAAAGAAGTTCCTACTTTGCTACTCTCCGAGGCCCAAGGGTAGAGAGTGGCATGTGTTGCTTTCCTGACTCATGTTTTCACCTGCTCATAATATCTTTTCCCTGTCCCTTTGCCACCAAAATGGTAAAAAGAAAAATTGGAGGAGACAGGAAGGGACTTGGAAGCAATCATTATCACCCAAGTGTTCATTTTTAATCCTCTAGCTTTTTTAAATCCATTTCCAAAGAAGGATTTTTTTTACAAAATAGGAACAGTTAAAACAAACTGTGTCTGGGGCATGGGTAACCGTGTCTGCTAATGTGCTTCACTCCTCTTACAGCAGCGGGAGGTGATGTGGCAATTGTGTGCCATCAAAATTACGGAAGCTATACAGTATGTGGTGGAGTTTGCCAAACGCATTGATGGATTTATGGAACTGTGTCAAAATGATCAAATTGTGCTTCTCAAAGCAGGTATGTGCTTTGCAAGTGAATTTTGAGATCTCTTCCTAACCTGCTTTTACCCGCTTATTAAAGAAATGCTTGGTAAGGAAGGTGTCGGGAACAGTTTTTCTCCAATGATAATAGCTTGGGTTTCTTTTAGCAGAAACAGTCCTTTTAAAGGTTTTTGAGCTATCTGTGGGGAAACATTCCCTCCATTTTGCTTCTCCTCTAAGTGAAACGATTAATTTGAAGGGCACTCACATTCTCCCATCTTACCATCACCTGTGTTTGTTTCTACTGCACCAGACTCTCGGGAGGGAACAGCGAGTTGTTAGGAATGTTATTTGTGGAACTCAAAGGGACACCTCTGGTGTTTTGGTTTGTTTTAATAAATGTGAATCCATACGTTTTCCTGGCAACTTAGATAGATTCTGTTTGCAAGGCAGAAGATTGCCAGAGAAGTAATTTGTAACTCCATCTCTCTTCAGGACTACAGCCTCCATTAGCTTCAGCATGAATCTTTAATTACACTGGTGAACTGGGTCCCTTTAAATAGAGAGCTGGTGTGACAGAAAGCCACTGGCTCCAGTGCATACAGCCCCACTGTGCTGAATCAGAAAGGGGTCCCTACATTAGTGCCTTCACAATAGATTAATATTCACCACGAGAAGATAATCCACACCATTTCTGCCTTCACTTAGGTTCTCTAGAGGTGGTGTTTATCAGAATGTGCCGTGCCTTCGACTCTCAGAACAACACCGTGTACTTTGATGGGAAATATGCTAGCCCCGACGTCTTCAAATCCTTGGGTAAGGAAATCTGGGTGCTCTTTTACATCAGGGCTGTAGGAAAATGTGGGAGCCCCGCCAAAGAGCTCACTGAACAGAAGGGAAGCTGTTATTTGGAAACAAGAATTAAAGGATTTTATACTTCTGTTACTTTATAGTCACTGCAGAAAATTCACACAGCTCAAACGCTCTTTGTCTATATTACATTTAAAAGTTTAGCGTTTTCATTGGATCTAGTCGGTGATCAAAGAAATTTATATGGTCTAACCTTCCAGTTCCCTTCCAGGTTTTAAGAACCAGATTTTCCTAGGATAAGTTATTCAGATAAACTAGAAGATGTGATTTGATACATAAAATCAAGCAAAGAGCTAAATGTCTGCCCTTCTGTACTTCTCAATAACAACCATTAGTAAGAATGAAACGTGGATATCAGAGAAATAAAGCATAGCTAAGTGAAAGTGACATATACTACAAAAATTATTTTGGATTTCTAGAATTTAAATAAAGTGGAATATAATCAAGAAGAACAAAACAGTATCCAAGATAAAGTTGTTAGGTGATTTTAAAAACAGTTAAATGACCAAAGGCCTATATACTTTAGGAAAGCCCATTGAAGTTTAAATACATATACATAATATGCAAATCTAAAAGAGTGGATACCAAACTTAACCATTTTTTTAAAAAGATTTTATTTATTTATTTGAGACAAAGTGAGCATAAGCAAGAGGGAGGAACAGAGGAGAGGGAGAAGCAGGGAGCCCCAACTTGGGCCTGGATCCCGGGATCCTAAGATCCTGACCTGAGCTGAAGGCAGACACTTAACCGACTGAGCCACCCAGGCACCCCCAAACTTAACCAATCTTTTGAGGATGGATTATGGATTATGTTATGAGACTTTCACGTTCAGAAAAGTGTTTTCAGTTTTGTAAAAGCTATAATGATTTTACCACCAGAATGTGTCATTTGTTATCATTTTTAAGAGTGGTTTAGATCAAATAGAGTAGAAAACAAAAAATCAGTGAATGTAACATCTCAGTTGGATTGTAGCCGTTTAATTCTTTTAATTCTGTTGGTTAAGATTGTGGGTTCTGAATTCAGGCAGCCTGGTTTTGAATTTCAGGCTGTTACTTCCTACCTGTATAACCTTAAGTACATAATTTTTCTGTTTCCTCACTTCTAAAATGGGGGTAATAATAATAATACCTCCCTCATAGAGCTGTTGTGAAGAAATAAGTTACCCAAAGAAAACCTCTTAGAGTGGTACCTGATAATATACTAACCTTGCAACAAAAGTCCACTCTCGTTATTTTAAATGGTAAGGATTATAGTGAAGGTGATGATAGCTAAACGGATTCTTCTTTTTTTAAGATTTCAAACTGTTAAGTTGTAGAAATGTTATTATCCCCTTGTTTTGTTTTGTTTTTAAGATTTATTTATCCATTTATTCATGATAGACATAGAGAGAGAGAGAGAGAGGCAAAGACACAGGCAGAGGGAAAAGCAGGCTCCATGCCAGGAGCCCGACGCGGGACTCGATCCTGGGACTCCAGGATCGCGCCCTGGGCCAAAGGCAGGCACCAAACCGCTGAGCCACCCAGGGATCGCTGTCCCCTTGATTCTTAAATTATTAGATCCCTCCTCGCCTTATTCCATATTTTTCTCCTAGGGTAATAACCAAAATCCCAAACTGTCTTTAACTTTGGCAGGTTGTGAAGACTTTATTAGCTTTGTATTTGAATTTGGAAAGAGTTTATGTTCTATGCACCTGACTGAAGATGAAATTGCATTATTTTCTGCATTTGTACTAATGTCGGCAGGTAAGATAATCAAATAACAATGAAATGGTTTAAAAATTGTCCAGGTAAAGAATTCTTACAAGATACATAACTTTTAATGACTGTACACTTTTCAGGTGTTACCAAGAGAGGTTGCCACCTTATTAAATCTAAATTTTATCAAATAGCAACCTTCCCCCCCACACACACATACATGTACATGTTTAAGAAGACCTCATGCCATTCTGATAAAATCTTAATAAATGAGAACTGAGTAAAACCCAGTCCATAATTAACCTCCTGATATCATGAGAAATGCTCTGGTAGAGTAGGGTTGCCCTTCTTAACACAAATCTCCCAAGATAACATGGTTTTTAAGATATCCTACTTTTTCTTAAGATTCATTTGGATGTCATCCACAAGTTTATCTGAATTTAATCTATGTTTTCAACTAGAACTGCCTCTTGGGGATAATCTGTTTTGCAAATTTACTGTCTTCTGTTTGGAACTTTTACACATAAAGACTAAATTAACAACACTTAAGTCATTTGGAATTCTCTTGACAATTTTAGTCGCCTTGGATTAAAAGCAATTTTCATATTTGCCAGAAAGGCTAGCAGGATTGCTCTGAGTATTTTATCCAGAAATGTAATTATTAGAAAGATTTGAATGTCCAAGGTGGTTTCATTTGCCCTTGTATATGCCTTAGGTTTAAATAGCTATCCTTTTGGAAGGGGAGGACTCTTCCCTTCCCTTAAGCATCAGTAAAAATGGAAAGCTTTATCACTGTACTGTTGTTGATCAGTGTTCCACTGCTTTAGGAGCAGATTTTGAACAAGGATTAAAACTGGCCTATTGTTCTCTAACTCTGAGTTGTGGTATAATAATCTGTGTATAAGAGTCCTAAGGAACTGGGGTGTCCTGAAACCACGTAGGAGGAATACTAAGAAATAATCATTCTTCGTGTGTAGATCGCTCGTGGCTGCAGGAAAAGGTAAAAATTGAAAAACTGCAACAGAAAATTCAGCTAGCTCTTCAACACGTCCTGCAGAAGAATCACCGAGAAGATGGAATACTTACAAAGGTAAGAGAGAAAGGTGTCCAGCTGGCATAGCCTAATCTATCCCTCACCACAGATCTTGCTGTCAGCCACCGTTATAAGTCATCTTACCAGCCCCTGAAAGTATCCATAAGCAATTAGGCTACTGAAAGAGAAAGAAATATCTCCATTTCAAAAAATTTGGTTGAGCCAAAATTCAGGTTATGTTCTACTTACCATCACTGGTTGTGAAGTGTCTTGCAATAACAGGGCAATGGTGGAATTTTTTTTTTTTTTTAAGCATTGACACATTCTGGAAGTCATCCTAAGTTGTGTATAGAGCAGAGTTAATGTTCTGCATTGATATAAATTAGAGAGGAATCTTTGAATTTAGAAGGAAGAAGTTTTAAAGGACTAAACAAGCAGGATAATCACATCTTCTAATATTAGTTCTATTTCCATTACATTCATTAGTAATCAACAGAAAGTGACTTTTGTATTTTCTTCATCAATTTCCCATTACTACCCTGTATTCAAAGCATAAGGCCTCATTTTTGCTAATTATTACCTTTTGCAATAAAAATATAATTAGGATGTCAATTTAAAGTATGCTAATATTCCTCAGTGCTAGTGCTGGAAATATGTATTTGGTCTTTGAAAAATCAGCCGTATTATTTTTTAGACTATTTCATGTGTTTTATTGTTCAGGAAGATGGATTTGAGAGGTTTGGGTTTTTCTTCCTGCTTTCTTTTCTTTTATCCTGAGAGCTAGGGTTAGGTCAGATAGGGGAAGTTAGGGGTTAATTGCTGTTTTGTTTTTATTTTGCACCCATTCAATGAGAGATTGAGGCAGGAATGGAAAATAGAAGAACTCTCCAGACCCTTACCTTCTTCTCCATCTTCTTGCCCCAATGCAAGGATACAATGAGGTTCTTTCATTATAGAGAGCACCTAACCCATGGACAAGATCTATCAAATATGTTTCTTAGGATTATTCTGGTAGAGATAATATATCATTTGCACAGTACTTTTGGAGTATAAAAAGCATCGTTTCAAGCTGTTGTATTGTCTTCAACTGGGAAATGGTCAATGCAGAGACTTCCACCCAGGTCTTCTAATGATTCTTTCTTCTGAGCCTTATACTCAGACCCAAAATTGCTTTGTACAGGCAAAGGTCTTTCCAAAAGAAACTTGTTTTCATTGGAGTTGGCTAGTACTGGTTCTGCAAAAAATATGTAGGGGATGCCATCATCTCTAGTTGCAATGACCTCGCCTGCCCATGACTGCCTGCATGTCTTCTTCTCTGGCACCAGATGTCTTTTTTCTCCAGAGCTGTAGAGAGCAGGGGTGGGGATGGGAGAGCAGAGAGCATGTTGGAATAAGAGAAGAAGGTGAGAGGCTTGGCTTCTTATCTCAACTTTGCCACTTCTGCTCATGAACATCCTCTCAGGTCATTCTATTATTTGTCTTCAAAATTGTCCCAAAAAAATTGTATTTAATCTATACTTGGTATTCTGTGATATGCCTAACACTTGTTTTTAACCAATCTTCCTATTGGAAGAACATGTAAGTTGCTTCCAGTGTGTGTCACCTTTGTAAACAACGGGCTAAAGATCTTCCAGATTCCCTGAATTTTGATGCTTGTGTCTGTTCTCTCCTCACAACGTGTCTTTTCTTCCACTTACAGTTAATATGCAAGGTGTCTACATTAAGAGCCTTATGTGGACGACATACAGAAAAGCTAATGGCATTTAAAGCAATATACCCAGACATTGTGCGACTTCATTTTCCTCCATTATACAAGGAGTTGTTCACTTCAGAATTTGAGCCAGCAATGCAAATTGATGGGTAAATGTGTCACCTAAGCACTTCTAGAATGTCTGAAGTACAAACATGAAAAACCACCACAACAAAATTAACCGAGACACTTTATATGGCCCTGCACAGACCTGGAGCGCCAACACACTGCACATCTTTTGGTGATCGGGGTCAGGCAAAGGAGGGGAAACAATGAAAACAAATAAAAGTTGAACTTGTTTTTCTCATGCATATGATTTCCATTATGCCTACAGAAATGGACCCTTTTTCTGTCTCTACTTCTTGATCATTGACCTCTGTTTACAACTGGAGGAGGGTACTAAAGCCGGAGCATTTCCTTTTCTCGTAGCTCACTGCCCACAGACTTTCCGCAGAGTCACCAAGCGGTCATAACCACAGAGAGTCCAGCAATAATCGGTGACTGGTGTGCAGAATGGAGGTGGCGGCGTGACTTTGCACAACTTGCTCTTTGTCTCATGAAGGAAGTTTTTATTTTTTCTCACCGATCATTGCCAGTCAGCAGGATGGCATGAAAAGGGTCCATAGCACTAGCAACAATAGCATTATAATATATTACAGGGTAAATGGGCATGAAGACTATATATAGCTAAAAGAGATATTGTTTATATATTGTTTTAATTAATATAAAATGTAGTTACTGGTGTAGCTTTTCCTGTTGAATTGATAAGGCACTTTCATTTTGCACCTTTTTCTTTAAATTAAATGCTAGCGTGTTCACTGTCGCGTCGCATGTGCACCAGAAACACAAGTTTAACTGAGAAGGCTTGGAAAGTACGTCGGGAGGTATTTATGCTGCTGTTTACAAATTACTCTTAAAAGACTGGCTGGTCATATCTAGAAATCACGATACGGATTCTTTTTTTTTTTTCTTCTACACTTTATTCGGAATTAGAAACGGAACTCTCCCTAAATTATACTTTGCTTTTGGGTAAGTTTAAGGACAGATGTGTTTATGCTTCATACAAAGTGGAATGATCGATTGGTGCTATGGACTCATACCATCATGCACATTTTTTTTTCTAAGTTTTTTAAATGTCACCTCAAGGAGGCAAGGGGAGGAGGGAGGGGAGGCTCATTTCACAAATTCAGTAGTTATATGGACTCCGTCTGAACTTGTAATTCTTATGCTTGGAGAACAAATCAGTAACCCAAATATTCATTGGGAATTCAGCTTTTATTATAAGAAGGACCCAAAGATCATATCTGGAGCAAACACACACTCCCCATGTGAGGACATGAAGCATTTAATTGTGAATGGTTATGTTCTTGGTATAATCTAGGAATTCTAAGAGTGTATCTCAGAGTGAACTAGTTCTAGACGAGCTGCTTCTAGATGCTATAGTTCTAGAATATTGCTCTCCATATTTCACAGACAGTGGATAGAAGGACAAGGGGAGATATGCAACACTGAACTGGTTTCTCTTATTTAAATATTAAATATTTTAAGCATTCAAACTGAAGTTGATGCTAGCCGCAAACATTTACTCTTGTATTTATCTTCACTAGAAAACTGTGGACTGTAATTTATTTTATTAAATATTTAGAAGATTGTTTGGCTTTTGTGTTCAGGTGAGAAATATTGAATGTTTTTGTTTTATTTCATGTTTGGGGGGCTTTTTTATTTTAATAATTCCCAATGGAATTATTAGAAGGGAAAATGAATAATCTGATACACAAGTGTGCATGTTTTAAAAATAAGTGCCCTTTGGAAATGTAGGCATTTCGAAGATGATTTTCATCAGTTGGGGTGGGACTCAGACTTTGGGTCTGAAAGACCATGTTGATACAGGAAAGGGAACATCTTCCCATAGTGCAAAGGTGGGAGTTTCCAGGCAGCCCTTTATAGCAAAGAAAGTGTCTCTACCACCAGGGTCCTCTTGAATCTTCCCTAGGAACTGTGGCTCCTAATGTCATGTGGATCACAGCACGGGCTTCCCAGAGCCCTCTACTCTGGCTTTAACTCCACTGATTTTCTGATTTGTTTCCTGAGGGACTTGGAAAAGAGGAAGGAATTATTCACACATAAGTGTGTATGAAGCCTAAATAACATCTTAATTTTTTTTTCAAAAACATTGTAAAAGGGTTTAACCATAAATAGAAGACGAGAGTAATATTTACTTAAATTTCTTACAAGTATATGAAACTTTATGTGAGTGTTTATATAGAGAGGTTAACTATCAGCATATAGTATTTATATTTGGGCAGGAAGGGTTAAATCAAATTTTTAATTTAAATAACTATAGTTCCTTTAATGATCAATAGTATTTATACTCTGAAAAGAGTACCAAGCTTAGTTATTTATTTGTCCATTTTTTTTCCCTATTGTTTCTCCTGGTGGGAGGGTGGTGGTGTGTTTTTATTTTGGTCTGATTTTTGTTTTTTGTCATTCTGATTCACTAAATTTGGGGATGGTTTTATTAAAGTATATTAACTTCTTTTTAACCAAAGCTTTCTGAATATGACCAGCCTCAGGTGCTAGCGCATTAAAGAGCAACTAAACCTAATTCCAGTGTCCATTTGTGAAACAATTAAGAACTAATTGAACTTCTCTAAGGGTGAGAGAGAGCATAATGTTGAGCTTAAAAGAAATTCCTTTTCCCAGAAAGGATTTTGCATGTACCAAATGAAAAAAAAAAAAAAAAAGATGCTTAATCCCAGTAGTAGTCACACCATGGTGACATTGCTTTTAGAATAAACCAATATACATTGACATGATGCTGCTATCAGGTCTTTCTGAAAGAAAAGCAAGGTGAGGACTTTAAGAGCAAAATACATCGACAGTGTAGGAACAGAGCAGGAGGGGTGTGCTCGGTGCACAGAGGGAACAACTATTATTTGGATCAAAGTTGGGATCTGAAGTTAAACAATAAATTCAGTTTAAAAAATGTATAGAAAAGGATGTGAAAAACTTTGCATTTTTATTCTGTTATTATAGTAACTTGTGTAATGACACAAACTACTTGGTGATACAGAACAATTATGCTTAAGATTTCTTATAATTAAAGTTTCCTATACTTAAATATCCAATAGTCTTTCAAAGATTGGAATCACATCATTGTTATCCCGGCTGCTATAATGCCTTTTATACAGTTTTTTTCACATAGGGTACATAAGGCTTTTGTACAAAGCCTGAATACCTTTGGTTACAATGGTGTCAGATGGTTGTATTATATTCTGAAGAACCTGGCCTTGTTCACAATGAAAACAAAAGTGCAGATGAAAGTGCTTTTTTGGACAGTTTGCAAATTGTGTTAAAGCTATGGATTTTTTTTTAAGTGTTCAGCATCCTAATTTGCGTTAAAGCTATGGATTTTTTACAAAGTCTTCAGCATCCTAATTCACCCTTCCTAACTTAAGGAAAATATAACTTAAGACACTGCTTCTAAGTTTGGTTGTTCTTTATAGTGTGGATACCCAGATCTCTGTGAGCGTATGGGGGTGGGCTGAGGGCCAGGTGAGGAGGGAGTGTGTGTGTATGTGTGTGTGTGTGTGTGTGTGTGTGGTTTTTGTGTGTATGATGTGCGTGTGTCAGACCGCTTCTAGGCTACTAAGTGTCAATGGAAAAGAAAATGTATTCAAAATACTTAAATCAAAACTAGAAGATGGGAAAAAAAAAGATTTATTCTATACAAAGCCTTGTCTGGACCACTTTAGAGAGACTTCTATTTTTTTAACCCTTCTATAAATATTTGATGGCACTTGAAATATTCCTGCAATAAAATGTGATTTGTGTAAAGAAAAAAAAAGATTTTGTAATGTGAAACAAAGAAAGAAAGTAATGTAATTTTCTAAAAAAAAAAATACAAACAAACAAACTTTGTATTATTTTCTTGATGGAATTTGTCTATCTGTCTTTGGAAAACTTTTTATTTCATTGAATGTGCCATAGTAGAAATATGTGTTTTTAGTTTTAGACTAAGGAATAGCTGTTTGTGTTCCGACATTCCAAAATGCAAAACAACGTAGTAGAATCTTTAATGAAAAGGTTTAAGTAGGATGTAAGCTTCTCTCATTGTTGCTTTTTTGCACATGTTCTTCATTCCTCTCTAGTGCAATATGTACATAGAGCACTTGCGGGTGTACCTTGATCCCTCAGGGAAAAAATACATATTTGTACAGTTTTGGTTTTTTGGTTTTTGTTTTTGTTTTTGGTTTTTTTGCCTTTTGTTTTTGGCTAAGGAATGTCGATTGAATCACTTGTTATTGTTGAGGGGCAGCCAGATAATAATCCTAAAGCCACTGTTTTCAAACATTGATTGTTTAAATCATGTGTCCTTCCAGTGCTATTATTTTAAGATAATAATAATAATAAAAAGTTATTTTCTGACAGTTCTTTGTGCTGATTGGTGAAAAAAAAAAGGGTAAATAAGCACCTTATGATTGACTTACTGTGAATGACAATCCATCTTGATATCAACAATAGAAGCCCTATCACTTTGGAGTCGGGGTTAAGAGTCAGAAACAATGTGCTCAGGGATCTTCTAAAACTCTTCAAACAGGGTGGCCAGTATTACTGGGACAAATTGTGTTTTTTATTATTAATAATAGTGATAATAATACTATCCCTCAAGGCACAAGTGAACTGTGTAGAACTCTGTGTGTGTGTGTTTGTAAACTCTTCACTATTGTCTCATTTTGTTGAGTTCAAAATATATGTGTTCTTCAGTCTTGTGTGGTTAAAAGTGTTGAATAGCTTCTAAAGCAGTATAAAGTTATGCCAGTATGTTCACAAGATAAATTAATAGGCAGTGTACCGACAGAAAGCATCACTTCATGTGTAATCCTACATACTCCATTGACCTTCCTCTGATAATTAAAATATTCATGATAAATTCATAGCATTATATATTAGAAACTTTCAAATTCTACATAGTATGCAAAAAATTGTCTAAGACTATAATGAGATGAGAGCTCTGCCTATCAGTGCAGTGAAAGAGGTGAAAATTTAAAAACATTTTTTTCAAATGCCAACAAATAACTGTTATTTTCATTGTGTTCTCCTCTAAAAGCAAACCCCCAAATCCCTTTATGTTTCACAGTTCTTTTACTTCTACTTTTATAGTTTTCATCTGTTGAATTAATACAAGAGCTAATGTTTAAAGACAGACAAAACCCACCTATATAACAGCGCCATGAATCAGCTTTTAGGGTTATATTTGACATTTTTGCAATATAATTTCATTCTCATGTTTCCATGTATTTTCATAATGTCAGTGAACCTCAGTATATTGTTGGCTTTGATTCTTCCTTACCTGGAATACACATTCAGAAGGAGCTTTCCATAATTTCTTACAACCATAGCGGAGTATAATTTGGGGAAACTTTCCATGTCGTTTAGATGAAAAAGAAACTTTGACCTTCTTGTTTTTTGATAATGAAGACTATGGAAAATGGCAGAAACCCCTCTCTCCTTCTCTCTCAACATATATATATACATACACACACACCTTTACATATATACACCATACATATACATACATACATACAGACACATATACATATACATACACACATGTACATACATACACAGACACAGGTTATTAACATTTTCACATACTATAACGTGATTGCCCTGTCTTACGTATAAAGATATGATACAACAGAACCCTATAGAAACAACTTTATACTGTGGATCAGATTAACAGAAATGTAATTGCAGTAGTAAGTCTTGGCCTATTGCCAACAGTCTACGATATGAGTTTTCATTCTATCCCTAAACACTAGTATTAGGAAAGTGGTTCCACCAGATTCAATTCAAGAGGCCTTCCTATTACTGTTTATTCTTAAGACATGAGGAGGCTGGAGAAAATGTCTTTCCAAAGCAATCGGTTTCACTTCCGGAGCGGTTGCTTGTTTCTGTAAGTATGACCGACCAGTTTTGTCAGGCTCTCAGAATAATTTTTAAAATAATCCAGAAGCCTGGCTTTATACTAAGGAGATGTCATAGATGGAGGGATCTCCGTGTTTAACCAGACCCTCCAATCTTAGAGCAATAAATACATTCATTCAGTCATTTACTTATTTACAAACCAATGACAAAATATTCAATCCAAATAAAAACAATGCTTTTTCAGCAATGCAATATAACATGGAGTCTTGTGTTAAAAAAGCAACTATGAATATTTTAAATAGATGCCTACAGAATCCATGTTCGCCGTTTACATGTAGTGTGTTCGCCACATTTTCTTTGGCTTTTTTCCTTCTAAGAACTAATGAAAGACAGCTTGCTGTGAGCTTTGACACACTGCATACGCCCTCACGTTCCGTGCTGTTGTTCTCTAAGAGCAACTGAATTCTCTCCAGTGTCTGTGTGTTTCCCTTCTCACTCATTATGACTTTAATGTGGATGAAAACTATTTCTAGGAACTTGGTTATTATTGAACAGATTGCATATGTAAATGCAGATAATTCTTGAGCAATATAGTGAATATGATTTCACACACACAAAAAAAATTCGTATGTACTGTACACATCTTCCTGAATCCAAAATTCTCTTCTTATATCCACAGTGGTTTGAAATCTCATATAAAACAGTGGTAAATTTTTAAACATTAGGACATTAGCTGGCTGCTTCTTTAAATGTACCTGTTCTGTCTGCTTGCTCCTTTTGTGGAGATGTGTTTTTGTATTGGATGTTTGGGCCAATGGGAGGCTTCAAGCTACAACATATTTTCCCAGTTTAAATATATTTAACATATGACAAACCCCAGACAAGGCTTTTAATATGTATAAAGAACTGCAGTGTTAGGTGGTTTATTTGCAAACCGTTTTCAATGTTGTCCATTTTTATGGCACCTTTAACAATATTCTTGTTTCCAAAGTACAAAAAAAAATAGGTTAAATAATCTAGCCATAACTGAATGTCAAGCAATAAAACAAATGACTTTTGTGCATAGACTTAAAAAAATACAAATTTTAGACATCTGCATGTAAATGCAATCTCTTGTTTACTGCTTTCTTCAACTTGAGCAATTGATTCCTTATTTACTATTAACTTAAGAACTTGTAATGGCCTGTAAACATTTTCTCTCTTACTCTTCTTTCAAATTTACCTTGGTCCCTGCTTTTAAGTCATAATATTTAATGTTGTTCTGCACATCTCTATACAGTTAACTTTTTGGCTTTCATTCTGTATAGATAAGAAAATGTTATATTATAAACAGCCTACTCAGTGCAAATATTTATCTGTTTATCAAATCCACAATATGCTGTATAATACTGGTTTTACTATATAATCTATTTTAGACATAGCTGTTTAGAACTAGAGTGTGCTATTTTTGTGTTTTTCTGATGTGTGGTGCTAGATAAGTTACTTTTGTGAACAACAACAAAAAAATCCCTTTTATTCCTAGACAATACCACCTTTGGGTCTTGTTAATTTCACTGAGTATAACTATATATTTGTATATATATACATATATATATATCTACCTGTTCCCAACTGGCAGCTGTATCAGAGTGCTGGATTTGGGACACGCTTTTCTCTTTAAATACATAATATCATTATATAAATTATTCTAGAGTGTATTTAATTAGGATAAAATTACTTCCTTAGTATGGATATTTGACATCTATAGGGTGAATTTGTTTATAAATATGGATATATGAAAACTTCTTAGCATTTACTTTATGTTTGCTACTTGGCTTTATACCATATCTCCTGAGCTGAAAAAATAATTTTCCAGGCCTTCAAGATCCTAAAAAAACACTCTAGTTTAATGGAGTAATACTTTTTTTTTTTTCTTACTAAGGAATCATGTTATTGGCACCTGACTGAGTTGTGTACTTAGCTCCTATTTAGGCATTTATATAAAATATCCTTGGTGGCTTGATGGCAGAATAAGTGTTTCCCCTCCTACCTGAGCCATGAGAAGCTTGGAGATATCCAGTATCATGGCAGAGCACGGGCCATAGAGCAAATTTGACAAGGGATGTTCTGTTTTAATCTGACCTCAACCAGTTCCATGAACTGTGAGTGAAAGACCTTCATTTTACAAGTCATCTAACAATGAGCTTAGTTAAACTCTTTCACCGATTCTCCCAAGACCTATTGGCATTGTTAAAAATCAAAAGTATATCAAATATCTAACTAAGGATGTAGTTAACCTTATTAAATATTGATTAGAATTGTTCTGTAATATTACTGAATTTGTAAGATCTTTAGCAAAGATTTTTGAGCAATTTATAAATATAGAGCAAATGTTTCTGTTTACTGCACTTTTTGTAATTGAAGGTGATAAATTCTCAAGCCATGGTTATTGGCTTCCATGCACTGCATATTTACCCACAATTCTAGACATTTTCCATTTTTATGGAAGAGTTGCTGTTACCTTAATTATAAATGCAATCATGTGGTTAATGAGAGCGAATGCTAATAGTTAACCTTTTAAAGAGAATTGGCTACAGTTTAGGGAGAAATCTCTTTAATACAAATCATGTCATTCCTTATTGCTTCACTTAGAGATTGAAACCTGTTTTGTTTTTGTTTTTTTAAGCACCACTTAGCATCCTAAACTTCCTGAAAGTAGAGATTGTATCTCTTTGTGTCTACACAATGGCCAGCACATGTCAGCATTTGATAATTGTTAAATGACAAGTGTGCCCAAATTTAAATTTTTTCTTGGGATTTTTTTGGGGGTAAATTTATAAAGTACGTCAAGCCTTATGGTTAACACTTTCTTCTACAACCAAGTATTAAAGCCACATTTAAAACGACCACATGAAATGCTGATTCTAATTGTGTGTAGGTCTTGAAGATTAAGCACACAAATTTCACAAAACTCTGTGAGTAACAAACTCAGCCTTCTGTAAATATACATGCAAGTTTGGAAACAGTAATACTGTACCTATAAATATATGCTGTCTGTTTTGTGTACAGTATGTAAAAACTCCTTTTCTGCCACACTAAAAATGCAAGCCATTTATGGAAATCCTAAAAATAGTATTGTACTAAAACTTTGCTAATGATCTTTATTAGAGGATCATCCAACTTTTCACTTACATTGGGTTTTCTTTTCAATTCACTCTTACAGTAGTCTGCTTATTTCCAGCTGTTTGTTATTTTATTGAGTCCTCAATTTAAAAAAAAAATATTTTGATTCATTTTGTAAATACAAGCTGTAAAAAAAAGAGAGATTTAATGTTGTCTTTTAAATACTCCAATTTTCATTCTAATATGAATGTTGTTATATTGTACTTAGAAACTGTACCTTTAATATTACATTACCTTTATTAAAAGTGCATTGAACACATCAATTTTAGATGTGCTTTATGTACTGTTATCCTATAATAAAACTTCAGCTTCTAATGGAACACTTGCCTTGTTTTTA